CTTGTCATTATTTTAAAGACTGCAATTTTTGACGTGAGCTAATGACCATGAACTAAGTTTTAGCCACATTGAGGCTTAACTTCTTTGCTCTGAGCCCTATACAGCCCTGTATGGCTGTGCAAAGCTGTGTATAGATGTGTATAGCCCTGTTTAGCTGTGTATAGCCCTCTATAATGTGTATAGCCCTGCTTAGCTGTGTATAGCCCTGTATAATGTGTATAGCCCTGCTTAGCTGTGTATAGCCCTGTACAGCTGTGTATAGCTGTGTATAGCCCTGTACAGCTGTGTATAACTGTGTATAGCTCTGTATGGGCCTGTATAGCTGTGCACAGCCCTGCATAGCTATGTATAGCTGTATAGAGCTGTGAATAGCTGTGTATAGCTATGTACTGTATAGCTGTGTATAGCTATGTACTGTATAGCTCTGTGTAGCTGTGTATATACCTTTGTATATTGTGTATAGCTGTGTATAGCCCTGTATAGCTGTGTATAGCCGTGTATAGCCCAGTATAGCTGTGTATAATTGTGTATAGCTATTTATTACATGACTCGGGTAGTCAGAGGGCCAATAACTAAAATCAATCAATCAAAATGCTCTACTGCCAGTCAATATTCTCTCAGTATTGGATTGGGCACTGTCCTGAATGGTCCCGAATGATACCACATTTGTGTTCCTTTTGAACTTTAGTCATATAATAAATCTCTTATTAACCAAGCTTGCTCAGGACCGTACTTGAAAAATATCGGCCCTCAGTCTTTTTTGTGCAGACCTCTCTGCTCTCGGTCCATACTGTCAAGACCTTGGGCCAATATTCTCCAAGTATGGCCCTCACGCTTGGTTAATAAGATGTATGTACTGTATAACTCTGTGTAGCTGTGTATACCTTTGTATATTTGTGTTTAGCTGTGTATAGCCCTGTATAGCTGTGTATAGCAGTGTGTAGCTGTGAATAGCTGTGTATAGCCCAGTATAGCTGTATATAGCTGTACATAGTTGTGAATAGCTGTGTATAACTATGAATAGCTCTGTATAGCTGTATAAAGCCCTGTATAGCCCTGTATAGCTGTGTATAGCCCTACATAGTTGTGTATAGCCCTGCATAGCCGTATATAGCCCTGTATAGCTGTGTATAGCCTTGTATAGATGTGTAGAGCCATATAATTATAGCTGTGTAGAGCAGTGCACAGTTGTGCAGAGCACTGTATGGCTGTGTATAGTTGTACATAGCTGTGTATAACCCTGTACAACTGAATATAGCTGTGTATAGCTGTATATAACCCTGTATCGCTGTGTAAAGCTCTGTATAGCTGTGCATAGCTGTGTAGAGCTGTGTATAGCCGTGTATAGCTGTGTGTATAGCCCTGTATAGCTCTGTTTAGCTGTGTATAGCTGTATATAACCCTGTATAGCTGTGTAAAGCTCTGTATAGCTGTGTATAGCCTTGTATAGCTGTGTTAGGTTGCATTACACTTAGGCGTACATAAAGTATACTCCTGGTGAGATATGCAACATAATTATGTGGGTGCCTTCCATGAAGTATAATTATACCCGCCTTTCATTCGTAAACAATTTTAAACCGCCAGGCATTTCATGCATCTTCTGGTGATGGGCCTGGGTTCTACTTTTGTTTTTGGGACTTCCCGTGTCCAGTTTTCCTCAT